AAAAAAAAAAAAAAAAAAAAAAGGAAAATCCCCCTGAAGTTAATAAAAACATGGACTAGTAAGTAGACTTATTCTGTTTTATAACAGCTTCATGGAGCTGTACTTGAACAATAAACTGCACAAACTCCAAGCACTGAAGGTGGTAATTTCTGTGTTTCTACCATCTCCATACTCGGGACAGTGAACAAATCCTTCACGGTCCAAAGTTTCCACTTGCACTTTTGCGGATTCCTTTCCTTTACCCTTGCCTCCCCCCTTTCACCAAACAGATTTGCTTTCTATACCTATAAACTCTCGGTTACTCTGAATTTTTTTTTTTAGCATTTTCTATAAATAGAATCATATAATACACATTCACTTTCTCTGGCTTATTTCACTCACACAACTATTTTGAGGGTCATCTGTGCTGTTCCATGCATCAGTAATTTATCCCTTTTAATTACCATATAATATTTCATTGCATATATACCACAATTTGTTTATTGCTACTTGATGGATATTTGAGTGCTTTCCAACTAGGGGCTATTGCAATGATAATTGGACTCCCTCAAAAATTTAAAGTATCTGCTCTTCAAAGTACATTGTTGAAATAATGAAAAGACAATCCACAGACCAGAATAAAATATTGTCAAAAAGCTTATCTGATAATGGGTATTCAAGATACATAAAGACATCTCAAAACTCAGTAAGTAAACAACCATTATAATTTTAACAGATTCTGTTGACTCCTTGATAGAAAAGTTTAGAAAACTGCATCCATGCCTTCTCCTATAATTTTTCCTTCCTCAGTCTACTTTTGCAGTTTTATTACTATTTCTATGTTGTCAAAGTTTGTGACATTTTCATTTATAGCCCTTACCAGAATTGCCATTGTGTTTACCCTTAGACCTTTATCTAAATAGATTCAGTGCTCACAGCTAGTTCTTCTACCATATCATCTTAATTACTAAATTTATTTTATTTATATATTTATTTAGTGACAGGGTCTCACTATGTTGCCCAGGCCAGTCTTGAACTCCTGGGCTCAAGTGGTCCTCCCACCTCAGCCTCCGCAAGTGCCGTGACTATAGGCATGAGCCACCACACCCAGCCTAATGACCAAACGTAGACTAAATTCAGTAATTTAACTAAAACTTCCAATTTGTATTTATTCATGACCTGCTGGATCTTATCAACAAGCAACTTTGTCCAGAGGGCTCACAGCACTCTGTTCCTTAAGTCCTTGAATGCTTAACATAGCTTTCTGTTGCTCTCACTTCTGACGTGTGGTTGTGTTTATGTACCTTCTGTCAAATCTCAGATTAAAAAGTAGTGATTTTTAATCCTTTTCCTGTTTGACCTGAGAATACTCACTGGCAGAGCTTGTGACAGCAGCATTTACCCCAGGATAACTTTACCACAAAGTAGCTCACTTTTATTATTATTATTGCATTGCTCTGCTGTATTGACTTTGGAAACAAAACACATTATTCTATTTAGAGAGTTCTGGTTTTAGTAGTGATATTTCCATTTACAAAATATAGTAATTCTCAATTGCTGAAAGTGTCAGATTCTAGAAAACATAGCATTCCTATGCATGATGTTAATATCATTCTCGAACAGCTGTTGGCCAAAAATTCATTTCATGAATCTGATTTTTCCAAAACAGACAATTCTGATGACTCAGATGATTCTGATGTTAGTTTTGTTTACAAGTAACTCCAAGAACAATTTTTGTTTTGTTTTTCTTTTGAAACAGTCTCTCTTGGTTGCCCAGGCTGAAATGGAGTGACACAATCTCAGCTCACTGAAACCTCCACCTCCCGGGTTCAAGCGATTCTCCTGCCTCAGCCTCCCAAGTAACTGGGACTACAGGCACCTGCCACCCTACCTGGCCAGTTTTTGTAATTTTAGTAGAGGCGAGGTTTCACCATGTTGCCCAGGCTGGTCTCAAATTCCTGACCTCAAATGATCCACCTTGGAGCAGCTTGGCCTCCCAAAGTGCTGGGATTACAGGTGTCAGCCACCATGCCTGACCCTGTTATTTTTATATTTCATTTTCATATTGAAAATCAGTCAGATTTGCTTCGACCTCAAAAGGCATGATGTAAAATTAAATGAGGGCTAGCAGCAGGCTGTACTTTTCCTAAATGGGAAAAGGGTAAGTAAGGTGGGATTAGTCCATTCTCAAACTGCTATCAAGAAATGCCTGAGGACCTGTAATCCAAGCACTTTGGGAGGGTAAGGCAGGTGGATCACTTGAGCTTAGGAATTCAAGAGCAGCCTGGGCAACATGGCAAAACCTCATCTCTACTAAAAATACCAAAAAATAACTAGGTGTGGTGGTGCATACCTGTGATCCTAGCTACTCTGGAGAATAAGGTGGGAGGATCACTTGAGCCTGAAAGGCAGTGGTTGAAGAGAGCCAACATTGTGCCACTCTACTCCAGGCTGGGTGATAAAATGAGACCCCGTGTCAATTTAAAAAGAGAAAAGAAAAGGAAAAAGAAATGCCTGAGACTGGGAAATGTATTAAAAAATAGGTTTAATTGGCTCACGGTTCTGCAAGCTGTATAGGAAGCATGATACTCACATCTGCTTGGCTTCTGGGGAGGCCTCAGGAAACCTACAGTCAGGATGGAGGACAAAGGCGGAATGGGCACTTCACATGGCCAGAGCAGGAGAAGGTGGAAATGCAGGGGGAGATGCCACACACTTTTAACAACCAGGTCTCATCAGAGCTCACCCTTGTGAGGATAGCACCAAGGGGGATGCTGTAAAACCATGAGAAACCTCCCCCATGATCCAACCATCTCCCACCAGACCCCAGTTTCCACACTGGGGATTATAATTCAACATGAGATTTGGATTGGGACACAAGATCCAAGCGTATCAGAGGCCTTCCATGAGTTTAGGATTTGGCTTATCAGCCTGTACTTTACTTTCAACTTACCTAGGACCGTAACTCAGCAATGATTTACGTGAATTTTTTTGTTTAATGGACTTTCTAGACAATGTAAATTTTAAGGGCAGAAATTTTATCTTTTTACCACTCTCAGAAGAGTTTATGTTCGAAGTAGGTGCGAAATACATTGGCTTCTGTCTTTGATATCTACTGATTGAGGACATGGAGATACTTTAAGCCAAAAGGGCAACAAAAAATCTCTACCTTCATGGAGATTATATTCTGGTAGGGCATGGCAGAAAATGAACCCATAAACAAATATATGTACAGTGCTTTGGAGAAATAATAAATGTAATTTCTATATATATAGTGTGTAGAGTGTTTCAGAGAAAACTAAAGAAAGCTGTAGGGATAATGGTGATGTGATGAGATGTAGACTGTTTAAATATGGTGGCCAAGGAAAGCCTTTACCTGCAAAACGACAGTTAAGAAAATAGCTAATGCAGGCAGCATTCACTCAGGACCAGGACAAAGATGGTAAGGAATGAAGACAAAGTATTATTAATCTAAACATGAGGAGGAAGAAAGCAAACTTGGAGTGGATATCTAATCTCTTATTACAGGAGTCTACCTTCAACTGGGAATTTGTACTGAGCTAAGTAGCAGAAATATAATTTGGATTTTCTGATTCACTTCTTTCCCTCAGGCATCCCTGTTACTGATCAAGAAAGGAATGGATGTTGGAAAGCACTCTCAGCTGTCTGTGGGATTGCTAGATCTCAGTCACAAAATAGCAATGAAAAGCAACCACCTCTCTAAAGCTAGGAATTTTAAGAAAATAACTCCCAAAAGGTTAGGAGCTTCTGTTTTCTGTTCATTTCACAAGACGGAGGATAGAGAGGATTTATTCTTTCCATAAATTCCTGGTGAGCATCTTTCGTGTACCATAAACTGTAAAACGTCTAGTGGATACAGCTGTGTGCAAAGCAGGTAAGGTTCTGTCCTCCCCACATCAAGCTTCCAGCTTAGTGATTAATGCTAGGGGGTTACACATTAGATTTACACCACAGAAATAGGCAAACCCTCTAAATCAGAGCTTGATTTATCATTTGTTGATTTTCCAGGCTTAAAGTGATGAAGAAAATGTTAATCCTGCCAATTAAACTCAAAAATGTATTGTGCATGTAGCTGCTACATTGCATCCAGCACAGAAAAATGAGGCAGTATTCAAGTATTGAAGAATTATTACCTGAGAAGATAAAAAACAACACCGAAGGGGAAAAAATGGCACATAGGAGGCAGGTCTAATCTGCAGCTCCCATTTTGACAGACAGAGCGGCATGTGGAGACCTACATCATGAGCTTCTGATCCAAGGACTACCGCAGGAACATACCAGGAAAGCCAAGGGAATCCACAGACCCTTTCAAGGAGGTGGCTAGCTGCTATAGGCTCCATGGGACAACTGAGGAACTATGAGTCTGCTTCCTTTCTCAGCTGGGAGGCTTATAGTCTGGGGCAAGTTCTCAGCCCTGCTCACTGGCTACCTGGCAATAAACCTGGTGCTGTTGGGGTTGTGGGGGGTGTGGTTGTATATAGAGGAGACTGGTCTTTTGGCTGCAGGCTGTGTGAGAGCTGGGTGCGGTCTGAGTCTGCCCACTTTCCCTCGCTTCCCCGGTGACCTGTGTGATGCAGCAGAGACAGCCATAATCCCCCTGGGAACATAACTCCATTAGCCTGAGAACCGCATCCGCATCCCCATCCCCCACAGCAGCCACAGCTAGCCCCACTCAAGCAGAGTCTGAACTCAGACAGGCCTATCCCTGCCCCCACCTGATGGTCTTTCTCTACCTGTCCTGGTAGCCAAAGACAAAGGACATAATTTTAGGGGAGCTCTAGGGCCCCGCCTACCACCTGACCCTCCCTATACTACTGCAACTGATGTCCTCTTGAAAGTGCCAACTCCTGGCTGGAGGCCAACCAACACAAAAGCCGAACACTTACTACAACCAAGGACCCTCACAGAATCCATTTCACTCCCCTGCTACCTCTACCAGAGTAGGGACTGGAATCCAGGCCTTAGAGACCTGAAGACAGATCACATCACAGGACTCTTTGCAGACACTCCCCAGTACCAGTTCAGAGCCTGGTAGCTCTGCTGGGTGGCCAGATCCAAAAGAGAATTAACAGTCACTGAAGTTTGGCTCTCAGGAAGCCCCATCCACAAGGGAAAGGGGAGAGCACCACATCAAGAGGGCACCCTGTGGGATAAAAGAATCTGAACAGCAGCCCTTGAGTCCCAGATCTTCCCTCTGATATAGTCTACCCAAATGAGAAGGAACCAGAAAAATAATTCTGGTAATATGACAGAATGAGGTTCCTTAACACCCCCAAAAGATCACACTCGCTCACTAGCAGTGGATCCAAACAAAGATGAAATCTCTGAACTGCCAGGAAAGGGATTCAGAAGGTCAATTATTAAGCCAAACAAGGAGGCACCAGAGAAAAGTGAAGTCCAACTTAAAGAAAAAAAAAAATGATACACAGTATGAATGGGAAATTCTCCAATGAAATAGATAGCATAAAAAAAAAAAAAAAAAAAAAAAAACTTCTGGAAAGCAAGAACACACTTAGAGAAATGCAAAATGCATTGGAAATTCTCAGCAGTAGAATGGAACAAGTAGAAGAAAGAACTTCAGAGCTCAAAGATGAGACTTTTGAATTAACCCAATCCAACAAATACAAAGAAAAAGGAATTTTAAACAATAAACAAAGCCTCCAGAGGTTTGAAATTACATTAAACAACCAATCCTAAGAATAATTGGTATTCCCTAGGAAGAAGAGAAATCTAAAAGTTTGGAAAACATGTTTGAGAGAATGATTGAGGAAATCTTCCTGGCCTTGCTACAGACCTAGACATCCAAACAGAAAAAGCTCAAAGAATGCCTAGGAAATTCATTACAAAAAGACCATCACCTAGGAATATGTTCATCAGGTTATCTAAGCTCAAGAGAAAGGAAAGAATCTTAAAAACTGTGAGGCAAAAGCATCAGGTAACCTATAAAGGAAAACCTATCAGATTAATAGCAGCTTTCCAGGACAAACCCTCCAAGCTAGAAAGGATTGGGGTCCTATCTTTAGCCTCCTTAAAACAATCAGCCAATAATTTTGCATCCAGCCAAACCAGCTTTCATAAATGAAGAAAAGATAGTCTTTTCAGAAGAATGCTGAGAGAATTTGCCACTACCAAGCCAGCACTACAGGAACCGCTAAATGGAGCTCTAAATGTTGAAACAAATCCTTGAAATACACCAAAATAGAATCTCCTTAAAGCATAAATCTCACAGGACCCATTAAAAAAAAAAAAAAAAAAAAAGAAAAACAACAACAAAAACAAAAAAAAAAAAAAGAAACATGCTATTCAGGCAACAGCTAGCACAATGAACAGAATAACTCACATTTCAATGCTGACACTGAGTATAAATGACCTAAACGCTCCACTTAAAAGATTCAGAATGGCAGAATGGATAAGAACTCAATAACCAAGTATCTTCTGTCTTCAAGAGACTCACCTGACACATCAGGACTCACATAAACTTAAAGTAAGGAGATGGGAAAAGATTATTCCATGCAAATGGATGCCAAAAGCCACCAGGAGTAGCTATTCCTGTATCAGACAAAGCAAACCTTAAAGGAAATGCAGTTTAAAATGACAAAGAGAGACATTATATCATGATAAAAGGACTAGTCCAACAGGAAAACATCACAATCCTAAAGACATATGCACATAACATTGGAGCTCCAAAATTTATAAAACAATTAAATCTAATAGTAATGAGATAGGTGGCAACACAATCATAGTGGGGGACTTTAATACTCCACCGACAGCACTAGACAGTCATCAAGGCAGAAAGCCAATAAATAGACAATAGACTTAAAGTATACCCTACAACAAATGGACTAAACATATTTACAGAGTATTTTACCCATAAACTGCAGAATATACATTCTATTCATCAGCATATGAAATATTCTCCAAGACAGACCATATGGTAGGCCACAAAACAAGTCTCAACAAATTTTTAAAAACTGAAACTGTATCAAGTACTCTCTCAGATCACAGTGGAATAAAATTGGAAATCAACTCCAAGATGAACCCTTAAAACCATGCAAATACATGGAAATTAAATAACCTGCTCCTGAACGATTGTTGGGTCAACAATGAAATCAATACAGAAATTAAAAACTTCTTTGAGCTGCATAGTAATGACAACCTATATAAACTTCTGGGATATAGCAAAAGTAGTGCTAAAAGTAAAGTTCATAGCATTAAATGACTATATCAAAAGGTCTGAAAGAACACAAATAAACAATCTAAGTTGACACCTCAAAGAACTAGAGAAACAAAAACTGAAACCCAGCAAAAGCTATGCTATAAGGCCATAGTCACCAAAACAGCATGGTACTGGTATAAAAATAGGCATCTAGACCAATG